TATTTATTTATATATTAATTATATTATTTTATATATATGGATATAAATATGATATATTCAGTCTTGAATTGAAATTTGAATCTAAAAAATAATAGCATGATAATGATAGTGGCCATATGTGCTTGTGGGTCTTGGTTTGCTATAGCTTTCTTGATAAACCAGCTTTCTCTGCAATGCAATATTTGAATCGTGCCAGATGGGTATTACAGTTTAGTAAAGTTAACGTCACTGAATCATCCTATTCCTGTTTTAACTGATACGTATGTATTTGTGTAGGAGAATCCCGCTATGAACTTCACTCTGGGGAGAAAATGTCGTTAGAGATGGCAAGAGGGGCAGCAGAGCTCCACGTGAATTGCCGCAGTTCTCCGTACCAGGCTCTGCAGAGCTGAGAGTTGTACAGATGGCGAAGTTCCATGGGAGGATAAGCCATATCTAATGTGGATCCGCAAATGATATTCTGCAGGGATCAAAAGTCTCTGCATATAGTCAGTACTGTTCCTATGGTATATAAATAGATATTCTGCAGGGATGTAAGTCTTGCATATAGTCAGGTATGCCAGAATATGACTAGCTGTCCAAGTTGTATGTTTTAGCATTGGTGCCGATCATGCATATGAAATGTATGCATTGATTTTCATCGTGCAGAGCATACTATAATAATAGCGTGTGGATCTCATCGTGATTTCTTTATATGGCAGGTGAATGTTTGTGACTAGTGGCCAGCGCAGTACACATCAGGTGAAGTGTTGGCAAACAGAGCCTGGATGACAGGTTAACATCATAGCATTGTACGTACTTCACTAAACTTCACTAAACCGTAAATTTACACACCATTTACACAATTTCTCAAAATTTATGGTTTTCCTATGAACGAATAAGTCCGACAGTTACTCGGCGTGGGCTGCTATATTTGTAAAATGTTGAAACATAAATACACACGCAAACGCACAGCGCACTGACAACACCAACACCACGCACACATCCTCACACGCACGCACCCTCGCACGCACGCACACACTGAAAACTATCAAGAGATGTTCATTCTTCATGCTCGCCCCACAGGAGGAAGAGACCATCGATGCCATTTAAATGTATGACAGCGAGAGCGGTGTGGACAGGCGAAAGTACGCGCGGTGCGATACCTCGTCATTGCGGGACTAACCTTGAACCCGCACGGTCGCACCGGGATGACAGGACGCGGCAGCCTCGGCTGCTGGGGTCCAACATCGGCTTCACTGCATCGTCACCAGGTAGGATTCCGGCTCCAGTACGGTTTAGTTGAATCCAACCACAGGTACGTATAGTTGAATCTGGCCCCAGGTAGGGTGTTGTTGATCCAACCCAGGTACGGTCTTGTTTTGAATCATATATATATATATATATATATATATATATATATAAGTATGATGGAGTTACAATACGTTGATCACACATTTCAGGACATTTGATATTTGTCAAGCATTTTTATACCATTCTTCTGCATCTAATGACAAGGACTGCCTTCAAAGGTCTCTTCTATAAAACTGCTTGGGAGAGGCTTACTATTCTTTTCAGTCAATACACCAACAACCCATGCCATCGCGACATTGGTTTTCTCAAGCTAAAAAGAAATTCAGACAACAATTAGGAGTTACAGTCACCGAAGACATGCATAACTCTGAGCATTTGTAAAGTTGATGAATTGTAAAATGTGCTACATGAGAAGACACCAGGCACTGCAATCAAAGTGATACTATGAGAGAGATATTTAGCAGTTGGTACTCAAGCATAACATTTTCATGGCTTAGCATAGACTTGGCATGTTGTACATCTATGTACATAGTTACTATGTGCCAGGAGAAATCTATAAAAGGTTTACATAATTACGAGCAGGAATTTATTGACATATTAGTTCTAGCTAACCCAGATAACATGCTAACGTTGGGCCAATGATTTTTTGCTAAGCGCGCCACGGAGTACTTTGAGAGACCCCCACTCGTGCCGCCCTTAATATGTCTAGCCCATGTCTTCCTTTGCGCGCGTGCGTGCTCCATGGCAACCGGCGCTACCTGTCTACGCCCTTCAGTGAGTTTCGGCCATGCATGACAAGAGAGCAGTCGGAGTCTGCACTTCTATTGCCATCTCGCTTCTTGCTGTACATGTACTTGTGTGTACAAACCTTTTGCTGTCACTTGTGGTGTGATAAAATAGTATCGATGTGGTTCACAAAATACTCTGGAAGTGAATTATCAGTAGACTGTACTGAGTATGTACTAATTCCCATGCGCATGCATACTTCGTGTAACCCTTATTCGTATTGGGTGTCGGATTGCAACATGACATGAAACCGCGAATGCTCTCATCTTTTCCACGCCCGAGCAGAGAAGCACCTGAGCGACGAGGACAGAAAGTCGGAGGAGCGGTTTGAGATGATAATGGCCGACGATCATTACTACCTTGGCTTCAAGCTGTAAATAGTAATATAAGATGATAAGATCATAGCTTCAATCAGTGGATAGTGATATGTGATGGTAGGACCTTGGCTTCAATCAATAGATAGTAATATGAAATGGTAGGACCTTGGCTTCAAACAGTAGAGGGTGATATGGGATGGTAGGACCCTGGCTTTAATCAGTAGATAGTGATATAGGATAATACGATCATGGCTTCAATCAGTGGATAGTGATATGAAATGGTAGAAGCTTCGCTTCAAACGATAGAGTTTGATATGGGATGGTAGTACCTTGGCTTCAATCAATAGATAGTGATATAAAATGGTAGAAGCTTGGCTTCAATCACTAGAGAGTGACATGTGACGGTAAGACCTTGGCTTCAATGGATAGAGACTGGTGGGACCTATAGGCATTACCGAGCGTGAATAATTGCTAATTAATTAGACTAATCGTGCGTCAGGTGTGCTTGTTTGTGTTGTGTGTGTGTGACAGAGAGAGAGAGAACCAGAGGGAGTGCGTATGTGTCAGAGAGAGAGAGAGAGAGAGAGAGAGAGAGAGAGAAGAGAGAGAGAGAG